TGCTGAACTTTAGCTGAGCCTGTAAACAGCCAATTCATTTCTTCTGCACATGTTTCCCAGTGAGTAAGTTTATCTAGTTTTTATCATTTTCCGGGATACACCAGACGGACAATTAATGATAGTATATTCACTTAATTCACATAGTAACAAAAGTTATGGCCCTGAATCAGCAGAATATTGAAAAATATGCTTAACTTGAAATGCAGACTAGTCTCACTGAAGTCAATAGGACTTCTCAGGGTCTAAAATTGGGTATATACGTAATTACCTTGATAAATTACAGCAGCAAATCTCTGTTATGGCTTATCTGTTATTATAATGCATTAATCCCAATTTCCATGCCAGCAAGTGTGGCATAGGTAACAGCATCTTTTTCATCAGCATACGACATTATTCTGGCCATTTGTAGAGTATGAAAAAATGTATTTTAGTACCAATAAAAAAGGTAACATTACTGTCTTCCAATTTTAGAACATCATGAAGCAATTTATTCATTCTCAGCCACTCTGCATATTAAAAAGAAGAGCAGAAAAAAACTCTCTGTAACTTCATTGTGCGTATAAAATAATTTGAACATACAGAAAATTGGCCTCAAAGTTTTCCAGATGTCGTTAAGAAGGTAATTTTCTTTGGGTCAAGCCTTAATCAGAAGATCTGCCTAATAGATGGGTAAATGTGCTAAGATAAGTCTAATGTTGTTAAAAATCAAGAAAGTTCAATTCATTTTCTGAAAGGCTATAAAGGAGCAATTAGATTTTGGGGTGAAGGGCTGATTATTGGAATGCCCATATTTAGAAATATTAAGATGAGTAGTTAAATTAATGTTTAAAATTAAGCTTATTTGTCATGATTCCTCAAATAAGTATCTCCACCTGTGCTGTATGCTATCATATTGGTATAATACTGCATAGGCTGAGTTTAAAAAAGAGATGTTGCATGAAATGGGTGGCAAAGCAGTTGCCGTTTGTATGGGGATATATTTTAAAAGAGATTCCCAAATCATTGATATTACTGCTATCTATAGGCCAGATTCAAACACCATTGAAGACAAAGTTTATTTCACACTAATTATAGTGTGAGTTGTCTCTAAGTTTATTTTTAATTTGGGTATTTCTAAATATACAGAAAACTGCTCCAGCTCAGGAAGTCCCTTGGCAGAAACGTTTGAAGGCAAGGAGACTACTCAGTGGAAACCTCATGTATCTTTGCATTGTCTAAGACATGGTATTTTCTGATAGGGACCTGTGGTCTGACCTATACTGGCCCCTGTTGTGAAGCTTTCATCATCTCTTGAGTCTTAATAGAGCAGTAATGACTTAAATCACACCTGACTTTTACATACATAATATGGTTCCAAATTGAGCCTGGCAGAAAAAAGGGTTATGTGGTTATGTTCTTCATGTTTACCAAACAGTCCAGTAAATCTTGAAACATACTTCAAAAGAAATTGGTATGGTTATACTAACTTGATGGATGCTAGTAATAAATGTATGCAAATAAATGACAGGTCATGTACTGTATACAGATGTACCATCTGGTTCAGCACTTGGGATCCATAGTTTGTATAGAGATCACTTATTAAATAGTATTTGGTTACTGCTGTGTAAGAATCATGTATCAAACTACTCTCTAATGGTTTCATTATTTTCAGTTTTTATCCTAGCATATTCACAGCTATGTCACGATGACCTACTGTCTGACACACATATCTAGTGAGAAGACACACAGTTATGACACATCTAATAAATATGATGATGATCAGAGTAATAATCTCCAGTGCATTAGTTAGAAACAACACAACCATAGCTAGAAGATGTTTAAATCATACTTTGCCGTCACATATTCCAAATATCCTTCATGTATCACACACAGAAAGAGGAATATTGCAAGATTTAGCACAGTACCTAGGACTGCTCTATTCTCTCAACGGCTGCTCTATGCACGATAAAACCCACGAAAAGGAATAAAAAGGAGTGTCAGAAATTTTTGCACCAATTCCTCCATCCATTTAGCACAGGCCATGTTTGCTATGCTCAGGGAGCATGAACCCCAGACCCACTGTGGAGCAGGTGGGTTCCTCCAAGTCCACGCAGCACTCCAGAGCTGCACAGGCCAGGAAGGCTGGGTTACTTGCCCAAAAGCAGCTTAGGTAGAAATACTCAGGGCTTAACTGTCCTGCCACCTAGTGGGATCCTCAGCCTGTTAGGAAGCTCATTCAAAGGCACGGAGGGAGTCAGTTGTCAAATACGTCTCAACTGCCTGAGGGCGAAGTGCAAAGAGGGTGACAGCTGACCTAGCTAGAGAAAGACTGTTTCCAGTTTATCTGAGACCCTTCTATCAAAGCTTTTGCTAAGGGTCCAAATATGGCATTAGCTGTATGGTAGAGTCAGTAACGCAGCAGCTCTATATGTTCAGTAACTTAGGTGCAAAGCTCCAGTGGTTTATATATGCCTGAGAAAACAATCCCAGCTACAATTTCCCAGCTACATAGTATTCTTATTAATAGGTATGCAGCACTCCTTCCCACCCTCCCTTCTCCTTCTATACAGTGACTAAATTATTTTCTTGCACAGTCAGCAAGAGTGTATGACATTTCCAATTCAAAGGCTCAGCTCTCTGCGTGAAAACTCGCTTGAACTGCATGCACAAAGGAAAGATACTGAGCTTAGGCACTAAAGGGTGAGCTGCCCAAAAGCATTCTCAATGTGTAAACTCTCTTGTAGACCAGATGTCTTAAGTCTGGCTTGCAGCCTACCCAGTTTTAAACTCCTGCTCTGCAATTTGGATTAGGGTGTCAATACCATGATGTGTAACTGGTTTTCCTTTTTTTTTTTTAAGGAGAATGCAGTTTCACCTTCCCCAGTTGAAGATGTTCTACTTTGTAAAATAATTAGCACGACTTTTGAGATTTTACTTTTGTTTTGCTTTCCCTCTTCTGCCCTGTGGGGACCAATGCGCATCCCACGACGATCAGGGAGCGACCCAGGACACGTAGGCAATGCTCGCGAATGTACCCACGCTCGTCCTGTGCCACTTCAAAACTGTAGATCTCT